TACCCATTCTTACTAAGTAAGTTCCGAATATTAACCAATTCATCTACTATAGTGTCATTCGAACAAATCATCCTAGCACGATGAGTCGGGATATTTATCAAGTTTCTTTTGTATCTGATTGATACAGCACTTTAGAAATGAATGTATTGTCCTGTTGCAAACCTTTCTGTGTAACCCTGTTTTTAAAGCCAGTTATATTCGGCATACAATTCAGCAAGTTCATCATCGTTTAACAGAGCACCATCCGTCGTGGTTGAGCAAAGGACAGGTAAGAGTGAATAAGAGTTTTATTCTTGCTTACTTGGTTGACACAGGTCATCAAGTTGAACTGAATAAAGCTTTTAAGGTTATCTACCATATTTCACCGAATTTGCCACATGGCCTTTTGCATATTGCTGAAGCCATCGCAATCCATGTTCAAAAACCTAACCTTTGCATCCAAAACAAATTTATATCCTAATAAGTAGAAAAATTATATTTCTGACGTTTCGTCATTAATTTCAGCCACTTCTTCAGAGTAAATAAATAACCCGGGAAAAAGTTAACTATTAACAATTTCATTAGATTAAAATAACATCCCGATTGAATACAAAATATCTCTTTTAACCTAAATTTTAAAGTTCATGCTTTACTATAGTTTACTATGTACATTTTATTTTCTGTCTACATTTTCTTTATTGAGTTCAAATCCTTCGTATACATCAATATTAGAAGGTATTTTCACCGAACAAAAAACAACAACAATGAACAATTCTACAGATTTCAAATTACTAGTGTTATGTTACTTTGTTTTGTATTTAGATGTTACATTTCAGGTCATACAAAATACTACTGCTACTACTACTACTACTACTAATAATAATAATAAAGAATTAGATTTACAAAATGAAATGAATCAATTCAATACCATAACATTTCCTTAAATAACTCGTAAAAAATATTTACCAATAGGGTAAGAGTGCAACTTATATTACTGAATAGGATAGATCTAAATGTTTACAAGGAAAAAATATAAATAACACAAACAGCAATAGTTGAAAATTAACTAAAGAAATAATCGTTAAAAAAATTCAATACAATAGAAGATATTTGAAGAATTAACTGTATAGATTTAACAGGAAACATTAATAATATCTACATATAAACGATATCCACAAAAATTGGAAAGGATCAGGTGGGATGATGATTCAGTGTTCTGGAATTTAAAAATTTGCATGCGAGACCGAAGGTCTTGAGTTCGATTCTCGTATAGGGGACATGAATGGGCATTCTGAGGAGTCACGTGCTAAGACCAAACAGCTATCTAGCGCTTTCAAATTTTCTCTGATATCCTAAATTAGATCAATTCATGACTTCAGTGTAATCCGAAAATCTCCGAAAATACCATACATATAGTTACAAGATTGTTAAGTAACTCAAAGAATTCGAATATATTCTTAATTAGTGATTCCGGTATCTCTGTTCATTCGAAACATCAATCTATTAATGTAAATAGTTAAAAAGAATATCGTTAAACTCATTTCAACATTACTTGTAGATGATTTAAATATTATTTGAAGATGAGACCCCCCAAAATTTTGTATAGATATATGTATAATAGTATCTCTCCTACAATTAATTTCGCTTACGGTCAATTTTGTCAAGTCATTTTATTAACTTATTTAATAGATAGTGTTATTTAAACAGTAACAAATTGTCTATTTCTTTGTATTATTATTATTATTATTATTATTGCTGTTATCTTATCTGTATAAGCATGTATGCTTAATCGTATGTAACAGCCTACACATATATATATCCCTAGCTTAAATATTATTCGCACGCTGAATCAATCACTTTCCCATATATATGTGTGCTTAATTTTTATTAATTGATTCGATTTGATTCTGAATCCGCCTCTGAATTTGCTTGCTTGTGCACAAATTCGCTCGGTGTGTTTGTAATTTTGTTATCTGTGTTATCCAATAATAAACTGTAGTCGGTGCTTCTTGTTTTCTTCTGAATTCATACACCGTTGAGATTTGTATAATAACGGTTATCAGAGTGATTGATAAACGAAGACTGACGAATAAATGGAAACGGAAAAGTAGAAAACCAAGGAAAATAATGAGTCGGGAAACAGAAGCAGACTGGAAAAGGATGAATAGGAACTAAAGAGAACCGGAAAGGAGAAGAGAGGACAGATTTGGATGGAGAATTCTGGTGAGCGGTCTATGCTCCTCCATGAGGGGTAACAGGTGTAAGTAAATAATTAGTCGTCATTCCAAAATATAAATATTTGCAGGATGCGTAATTAGCACTGAATAATAAAAACACTTTTGCAACGTCAAAGAAGGCATAATAGAGAACAGAATGTTAAACCGAATTATAATATGTGAATATTCGAAGTATAATGACATTAATAATGACAATACTTAAGGGTAACCGTTAGGGATGCAGAGGAATATACCAACCAAAAAGACCACATCGTACCATAAAAATAGAAAACAACATCTGTACAATATTTAACGAGTGAAGTAGTACGAGTAGATTATTATTATGAACCAACAAAGTCTTGAATTAACGGTAGCAAAAATGTACAGTGATATTCAGATACGTATATTCAATTAAATTTAATTATTCTACAGAATGTGTTAATATGATTTACAATAATCTCTGTAAAATGCACAACAGTTCTGTACAAACAGGCGGTTTGTTGTGTAATTAAAGTCTTTAGGAACATGATTGCTGTGTGAAATTTGAAATTCCAAAATAAACTGTTTGGTCGCTGTCCAAAATTTGTTGATTGGAATTATTCGTATCAACTAACATTTCTTTTTATATTCACTTGGTATTGTTTGGTTTGTATCTTTCCATTGAGGTTTAAGACTGCAATTGATCAGTCTGTTATTGGCATATGTGCATACTGTGCGTATGCCTCAATATTGCTTCAATTCACAAGCTTTTTGTAAGCAATGATGGATAGTGGCTAGCAGTGGACGAAACGTGCATCCTGGATTCGACTGCTAGCCATCATTTCTTTTTATAGTTTCACATTAAAATACTTCATCCCAAATTTAATTCCGATTCTGTATTCGCTGAAGAAATTGAACATATGTTTCACGCTACTTATGAGTAGTTAAACAAATAACAATGATTTATTTTGTCATAAGCAAAGATAGATGGTGGCTACTAGTGGAATCCAGGACACACGTTTCGTTCTGTTTGGGACTCGTCGGCTATAGGGGTTTAAAAATGCTAGGAATGCATGATTTTCTACTGAACATGGAAATTTGAGCGGTAAGTTTCGAAATAATTTGTAATTTTGTCATTTACATCTAAATACATAATTCAATGATTGACAAATTGAAGCTGAGTAAAGAGTTTAGTGTCAGAATTCAATAAATTAAAGTCGATTGAAATTGATATTAACAATAGTCTTACATTATTGAAAAATTTTCAGTCCATACGTAATTCACTCCAAGAAACTACACTAATTATCTCTTCTGTCAACGTGAAACTATATCTCTTTGGAAAAAATTACAGAACCTTGATGAAACGTATTTTCTTTTATAAAAGTCTTTAATTATACAGATCGTCTGTTCAGTGCTCCTTAGTTCTTTATGGTAATTCATATATAAGGTAATTTCAATGACATGAGTCTTATTTCAATAAAATAAATCCGTACAAACTATTAGTGAAAAAAAGGATTATGCAAATATAAAAAAAATTATGCATAATTACTTTTAAGTAGTTTTTCTGTTTATAGTAAAAAAATAATTAAGTCAACAATTAAGTTTATATCACAAGGGGTTTTTGTAGATATTATAGTAATTTCAATAGTTGAGATGATAAGCCAGTTGAAGCTAAACCAACATAAATAACTTGGAAGCGTACTACATGAGGAGTCCTACAATAGGACGAAATAGCTGTCCGGTGCTTCCTAATTTTTCATGATTACTTACTTACTTACTTACTTACTTACTTACTTACTTACTTACTTACTTACTTACTTACTTATGCCTGTTACTCCTCGTGAAGGAGCATAAGCCGCTAACCAGCATTCTCCAGCCCACTCTGTTCTGGGACTTCCTTTCTATTTCCATCGAATTGTTGTTCATTCTTTTCTTGTCTATCTTCATTTCTCAAAGTAAAGTGTTCTTCAGTTTTCCTCTTCTCGTTTGAGCTCGGAGATTCCATGTGAGGGCTTGCCTTGTGACACAGTTGGGTGATTTACTCAATATGTGCCCCAACAACTTCCTGATTTCTACCTCCTCTGGAATCCACTTTCTTCTCTCCCACAGTAGGTTGTTTTTGTTAGTGTCTGTCCAACGAATCCAAAGTATTTTGTGTAGACAACTGTTAACAAACACTTGTATCTTCCGAATGATGGCTTTCGTACTTTTCCATGTTTCCGCCTCATATAGTAGAACTGTGTTGACATTTGTATTGAAAATTGTGTCTTTGGTGTTGGTTGCCAACTGTTTTGAGTTCTAGATGTTCTTCAATTGTATACATGCTGCTTTTGTTTTGCGGATTCGCGCCTTCATATCTGAATCAGATCTATCGTGTTCATCAGTGATACTGCCCAGATATGTAAAGGCTTTTAAGTCTTCTTAAGCTTCTCCATCAAGTGTGATTTGACTGGTGCATGTTGTGTTGTATAGGAGAATCTTGCTTTCCTCTTGCTGTCGATACACTGGTCGATTTCTCCTGCATTTATTGTTGCGTTCGCGATAGAATAGCCAGATCATCTGTGAAGTCTAGATAGTTAGGCTGTGTCCTAGCCGTCAATTGTATCCCATGCTTTCCCTCAGATGTTGACGTCTTCATGATCCAGTCGATCACCATGAGAAAGAGAAAGAGAAAGGGTGAGAGTAAGCAACCTTGCCTGACACTGGTCTTTATTTGAAACGAGTTAGTCAGCTGTCTCCCATGCAAGATTTTGCAGTTCAATCCATCATAGGAATTCTGTATGACATTGACTATCTTCTGAGGCAATTTTCCCTGATGGTCTAGCTTTAATTCAACTTATGATCTCAATCATTGAAATTACGTTTAACTAAAATTTTAATTCTTAAAAGTATCTTAAAATCGTTTATTTAACATTTTAATAGTAACAATATTAACATAAAAATAATATTAGGAAACAGATTAATATTAATACTAGCTGAATGAATGAAGATGGTAAGCTATTAGAATTCAAAAGAGTCATAAATACAAACATCAACAACAAAACAAACAAACAAACATAAAACCAAACCAAAAACACAACATTTCGATGAGTACAATAAAAATACAAAAATCTATTTCTCCCCTAACATCTTTATTCTATTTATATGATAAGGTCGATTAAAGTAGGTCTATCAATGAGTTTCTATAAAAAGAAACTAGTATTATCATTATTATTGTTATTATTAGTAGTAGTATTAGTAGTAGAAGTAGTAGTAGTAGTTTTAGTAGTAGTATTATTAGTAGTATTAGTAGTAGTAGTAGTTGAAATAGAATATTGTAATAAATGATAGATAACTAAATAACATTTCTATTACATAATTGCAATATTTAAAAAGTCTGTCTATTAAGAATAAACTTTTCTTATTCATATCAACAACTATACAATATGTATTAGAATATAATAGAAGAGAATATGGTATTGATATGTTATGAAATGAATTCTAATACATAATATCCGGTGGAATATTTATATATGAAGGTAAAATACTTGTATAGACATCATTTTCTGTGATAAAAGTTATTCGCCTTAGAACGATGATTAACATTTAGGTTATATATATATATTTCCGATGTAATGTTATATAGGGCAAACCTAGGTGGGCATTACTGCCTATCTATAAGTCACTGCATATATATATATATACTATGGAGTTCCTGAGAAGATTGTCAATATTATCCGGAATTCATACGACGGACTACAGTGCAAAGC